TGATCGTTCATACGATGAAAGTGCTTTTGAGTACTCGCCCATGTTATAATATACCGAACCGATGTTGAGGTAGGAAGCAGCCAAGTGGGGATGATTCGGAGGGAGAGCTATTTTCCAGATTTCAAGTGATCGTTCATACGATGAAAGTGCTTTTGAGTACTCGACCATGTTATTATACACCAACCCAATGTTGTTGTAGGAACCAGCCAAGTCGGGATGATTCGGAGGGAGAGCTATTTTCTGGATTTCAAGTGCACGTTCGTGCGATGAACGTGCTTTTGAGTACTCGCCCATGTTATTATACACCAACCCAATGTTGTTGTAGGAACCAGCCAAGTCGGGATGATTCGGAGGGAGAGCTATTTTACGGATTTCAAGTGATCGTTCATACGATGAAAGTGCTTTCGAGTACTCGCCCATGCTATCATACACCAACCCGATACCTTCGTAGGAAGCAGCCAAGTCGGGATGATTCGGAGGGAGAGCTATTTTCCAGATTTCAAGTGATCGTTCATACGATGAAAGTGCTTTTGAGTACTCGCCCATGTTATAATATACCGAACCGATGTTGAGGTAGGAAGCAGCGAAGTCGGGATGATTCGGAGGGAGAGCTATTTTCTTGATTTGAAGTGATCGTTCATACGATGAAAGTGCTTTCGAGTACTCGCCCATGTTTTTATACACCAACCCGATACCTTCGTAGGAAGAAGCCAAGGCTGGATGATTCGGAGGGAGAGCTTTCTCTTTGATACTCAGTGCTGTTTCGTAATATAAAAGTGCTTTGGAGTAGTTGCCGATATCCTTACACACCCAACCTAGTTGATTATAATATTCTGTACGGTCTTCATCAGAAGACGTCTTTTCAAGGAGAATTTGATAGAGTTGTTCAGCTTTTGCAGGCTCACCCAATTTAATAAGTATGTACCCAAGTCGAGACAATCCCGTGCGACCACCAAGATCCTTACGGATATGTGCTGTTAGTGTGTTTAATTCATGATTGTCATTACCGACAATAGTGAGATTAACTTCGTATAGCCGATCACAGTGATTATCGTGAATTTGTTCAATGCGATTGATACGAAAAATCGCATGTGTTGTAAAAAGTATTTCTTCTTCCTTGTCTTGAAAGAAGCCAACTTTGTTAGTTACTTCAGCAAATGGTGTTGAGGATTTCGTGCAAATAGCCGTGTCAATGTTCATAATGAAAAGGATGCCAACTGAATTTGTATTAAATGCTGCTGGTCGTGCAAAGTTATTCAGTGAAATCTCGCGTTTGCGACTTGTCGACAGGAAATTGTTGAAGGACATAAGTCCTCCTTTGGTTTTTTTCATTTTTTCAAAATCTTCCATGGACAAACCTTGTCCACGAAAGACTTGAAATTTTGTTGGCATGTTTCCTTGTTGTTCATAATGGAATTTTGTAATATGTTGATGTAGATGGCGAATGAAGAAACCCATCTTCAGGATTATATCGACATCCATTTGTCGAAGACCACCATTGAGCATTGAGTAAATAAAATATGGGCCTGTGTACCACCAAATAGGCGAATGATTACGATATTCTCGTTCGATCTTGTCAAGTGTTGTTTTGGAAACATCGTCTTGAAGACGACAGTATTCAACAAGTTCTTTAATTGATTTGACATCGTCATCTTCTATTTCCAAAAGTGCTTCTTTTAGCAATTGTGTATACATAAACAACGGATCAATACGATTAAAACTGATCGAGATCATATCTTGATCACAATTTCTTCTATCGATTTGTAATTCTTTACAAATCGGCTCGATTTGTGTGTATACACCTTTTACTTTGGCCATTGTTTTGGCCCATCGTTCATGAATCACTTCGTTATCGCAAAAAATATAAATTGAGACTAACTGTGGGCATTCTTGAATAACCGGTATTAAATGTTGTCCCAGCGCACCAGAGATGATCATAAATACATTTTTATTTTCAATATCACTTAGAAAATCAATACATTCATCAATGTCTGTAAATGTTGTCACTGTTTCTAAAATATTTCGTAAATGTTGTATTGATATTTTATAATTGTCTTTGGATTCGTCAAAATCGGTATCAAGCCATACCAACAGAGAGTTTTGAAGCTCTCGGCGCCTAGGTCGAGGCAGCACAGCAGCAGCACGATTGTTCGCGTTGGTCATAGTGGTGGTGCTAGGCATCGCTGCTGCACCACTGATAACAGTTGTTGTCGATTTTTGTTTGCTCATTGTAATTGAACGAATGAATATAACCAGTGAAATGTAGTCCCCTATATTTATAATTGTTAAATTTTTTGTTGGTTAACATCATTCCTTTTCTGACTTGTGGCTACAGACTTCAAGAACCTCTACTATCTGGTTCATTTTTGTTTCAAGAGTGTTACTGACAAAATGACGATAACGGATGGATCAAGTCTCTACACATCGAACCATAAATAAAGAAGAATGGCTAAGGAAGCAAATAGTCGCTGAGGACGGACGACATGACTAGTCCGAAATGTCGAAAATACCTGTCCTAACTAGTTATCCTGACATGAAAACTCCTGCAGCTACGTCTGAACTAGTCCAGAATGTCCTTGAACTTTGGCATGTCTAGCTTGTTTGTCTATGGAACCTGTCCAGATTAGTTCGTAGAACCGCAAAAGAGCATTTCTAAAAGTAAAAATTGTGCCTTTCATTGCTGGTACTCGTGTTGAAATGTATGCACACAAACAGTTACTCTGTTTAATATGTTTTACAATAAGATTGTTTTATACATACAAGATTCTGTAACCAAGACAATCGGTTGCATGTATCATCAAGCGAAGTTCTCGTAAAACTACTTTATAAACATAAAAATAACACATGTTTATGTACCGTCATTTTTTTTGTGTGTAGCTACTCTTTACTTTTAACTTTAATTTTCTTACTAGTCTAATAATGTTAGAAACTAAATATACTTACGTGCTATGTAATATTGGAGTGTAGCAAATTTTGTTTTGTGTGCTTGCAATCGATTTTGTTCTGTATTTATCATTGACAAAATTACTTGGTTTTTTCCCACAAACGTATATTTACATGAATCAATGAAGCATGACGTTTTCATCATGTAAACGACTTTTTCGACCATGTGTTCATCATTAAATACGTTTCGTTTTTCATATATTCTACTTCTTCCTTTTTTACCTTACCTTTGCGTTTCGTGTTGTTGCAATGATAAAAAATACACTGATGCTTGTATAAGCGTAAATTTGAGTAATGATGATTCATTAGACTTTGAACTTTATTCTAATCTCTATATAAATATTTTCTATCGTAAAATTTTTTTTGAAATTGATAATTATAGAAGTAGTGTTGAAAGCTTCAAAATAAATAAATGAAAAATTTTATATTTTTTATTTTATCGTTCGATGTATGAAAAACTCTATTTATCACGCAAACTTCGTTAGATGCATCCGAAGAAAGTATGGCGAATGTGCTTTAAGAAGACTCAGACATTTTGAGAAGTGGGTGTGAGTGTTTGTATTGCTTATTCCTACACATCCCGACCCTCAATTATTTGGTTTAAATATCTAAGAATTTCAATCATAATCAAGCAATAATCAACAATCAATGAATAGAAGTAAAAAATATTGATACAAATGAATAACATCTTTCAATCAGTATTCAACAAATAATGAATGATTTTAATTTCAATGTAAATCTTTTTTTAGTGGGTTGATATGGTATGTTATATTTTTTTACAACATAATGATCATAATGTTGTATCAAGTTCATTGGAAACACATGAAATTGTACTTAAATATTCAAATTTATTTGATTTTGATCAATTATTAATTTCAACCCCAATTGGATCTATAGAAGAAATTCGTGTCAGTGAAGCCTTAAAAACAGGTAAATATTGAGAAAAAAAACAAGAATTTTTTTCATTTGTTTTTTTTTCTAAAACAATAGCTTATTCAACATGTCAACGTTGATTTATTGAAATGAATGATGAATTCGATTCAACAGCAATGATTAATAATGATAAATGAATATCAGCTGCTAAACTTGTTAATCAATTATATTTTTTTCCGATTAGATATATACTTAATATGGATGGTACAATAAAAAGTGATGATGAATCATGTATTAGTGTTAAATGTGCTATACCAATATGTCTATCGTATTTATCAACAATTTGATCCATTTGTTTATCTTACTGAAAGTATGTTTAATTCTTGTTTGACTTTTTTTTATAATCCAAAATTATTTCTAATGTCGTAACAGTAGGAGGGCCTAGGTGAAGGGAATTGTGGCAGCGTTTAGTTGACGTGGCTTCAATTGGTTAAGGTCTCAAAGTTTTAGTGAAAGTTATCTGATAGATATGACAATTTCACTATTAAATTGTTGAAACATATATATATATATTGGAATCTGAAAATTCAAGAACGGAGATTTCTGAATATTGATTCAGCAGCTCAAGTCCTATTCCTACTTTTAATTTTTTTGAAACCAACAAAAGACTAGAACATTGTCAGACTCGAAAAGATGTCCAGTAGAACATTTTATTGAAGCTCAAAGCCTGCATCAATACATCAGAGATTGAAATTATACAATCACACAATTACCTCAAAAAATAGTTCTAAGCTGACGTTCGAGATATGAAATCAATTGTATCCTCTAAGGAGTTTTTCTTTATTCTTTGAAGATTTCTGATTAAATATAGTTTTGTAATTGATGTGAAATTTCCTAATGAGAAAAATGAAATTCTCATCTCTATATGACTTGTAATACATTAAAATTTATCGAACTTCAAGGTATTTTTTTTTTCTTTTCTTTAAGATATTACATATCTTTTATCTTTATGTGAACACGGTGATCTACATTTACGTGATGCATGTGCAAATTTACTTGTTACATTAATTCAAACAACAATTCATCTTTTAACACTATCATCATTATCAAATTCTTTTATTAATCAATGTTCACTTGTATCTACTGATTCAAAAGACAGTTCAAGGTTATATGTCTTAATGATAATAATTCACGTGTTATACATTTTTCACTAAATGCTTTACGAACATTATTACCTTTTTTTATTAATTAATAGTCATGCATTCACAATCATAGGAATTGAATTATTAGAAGATTCTATTCAACATACTACAAATTCCCGTATTCTTGCTAAAGTAGATAAAAGAAATTTATGTTTATAATAATTTTTTTTTTGAATGTATTTAAAATAGTTTGCTCTATCTCAACTTATAGATGATGTTGATTCTCGAATATTAACTTATCTTGAACAACAACAACAACAATTAAAACAACAGTACCCTGATATACGTGTTCGTCAAGCAACTGCTTCGACTTTTGCTAAGTATGCATTTTGTAGAGATATTAACTAGGTAGTTTTTTTTCGAATTTGAATGAATAAGTCGATTTTATTACATTAAGTTAGTTATTAGCTACTTTTTGATTTTAAGGTTTGTTGATCACAATTCATTTTTACCATGTCACTGGATATATAAAATTCATCATTCATTACAAGCTCAAGCATCAACTCGAATACAAATTGTTTGTCATTTTTGTCTTTTATATAAGTTGGATGTTTAGAAGATATTTATGTTCTTTCAAATGTTTTAAGACCAACAACAATTCGACCAATTTTTTCATAATCAATGTGATGAACTTCGTTTATTTATAAATTTTTTTTAAACATCCCTTTATATTACATGATCTTAATAGTTTAATCTTTTCAAGTAAAGAAAAAAAAAAGATATTTATTATGTTTTTTT